GGAAAGAGTTTCATATAATTTTTTTAAATGCATTTCACTTATTTCTGAGTGATACAAGAATGCAAACTACATATGGTATGAGATCAAGGAATATACTGTCTTATGGGAGCTCTCTCTCTCTCTCTCTCTCTCTCTATATATATATATATATATATATATATATATATAAAATCTCACAATAAGAAATAATAGAGTCTGTTATAAATAACAAACATAACACAGAAAATAAGTGCCTTACGAACATGGTGACATTGTTTATTGTCAAACCCAGGATACTTTTAAGAATGAGAGTGGGAGGGAGTAAAAGGAGTAAAATTATTACAGTTTTTTGAAATATTTATTTATTGAACAAATTGTTTTTATTATATCGGTCAATTTATAAAATAGTTCTTTTATGTCATCAAAAAGTTTATGAATAACAAATGTTGGCAAGGATGTGGAGAAAAGGGAACCCTAGTACACTGTTGGTAGGAATGTAAATTGGTGCAGCCGCTATGGAAAACAGTATGGAGATTCCTCAAAAAACTAAAACTAGAAATATCAAATGATCCAGAAATTCCACTCCTGGGTATATAGCCAAAGAAAACAAAAACACTAATTCGAAAAGATACATGCACCCCAATGTTCACAGCAGTATTATTTACAATAGCCAAGATACGGAAGCAACCTAAGTGTTCATCAACAGTTGAATGGATAAATAAGATGTGATACATATATCACCATGGACTCAGCCATAAAAAAGAATGAACTTCTGCCATTTGCAACAACATGGATAGACCTAGAAGGTATTTGTGCTAAGTGAAATAAGTCAGACAGAGAGAGACAAATACTTGGTTATCACCTATACGTGCAATCTAAAAAAATAAAATGAAAGAATGAATATAACAAAACAGAAACAGACTCAAAGAGAACAAACTAGTGGTTACCAGTGAGGAGAGAAAAGGGGGCAGGAGCAAGATAGGGAATTAAGAAGTACAAACTACTATGTATGAAGTAAAAAAGCTATACAACAGCACAGGGAATATAGCCAATATTTTATAATAACTACATATGAAGTATCATCTATAAAAATTTTGAATCATTCTGTTGTACACCTGAAAACTAATATAATATTGTAAATCAACTATATCTCAATACAAAAAACTTTAAAATACAGTTATTTTTTTAAAAGTATTTTCAAAAATAAAATTGCAGTGATAATATTTTGTTAGAAATTAAAGAAACTTGGGAAACAAAACCAGATGGGACATTAGCACCAGGAGCAAGTACAACTGTCCCTGGCAAACAAGAAGTGTGGTCACCTGACTTATGAAGTCAGAACTGCATTTTACGTGCTACCCCCTGAGGAAATAATTTCATTATCTCCTCTTGTTGTTCATTCATTTCTTCTAGGGACCCAGCAGGGAATGCACAGAAGGTTTGTGTCCACACGTGGGCTCACGCTCTATAGAGGTTGTTACATGAACCTACGGGTTCCAAGTCTCCATTGCAATTCTAGCATTGTGTCCTCTGTCATTGCCATAGGAGGCGGGACTGGGTAGCTCTATGGTAGAACATTCTGCAGGTTGGGAAAGGGACAAGACTGGAATGAGCCCTGGGGATGTGCTAGATACATTCTTCCATTTGGGTAGATCCCACTATCTGAATTTTAAAATGTTGGGTTTGGGAGCCTCAGAATTAATGATTTTTTTAATCTAAAATATATGGCTAGGTGCATAGCACAGGGAGATAAGCTCGGTGATTTGTGACCACCTAGCGGGGTGGGATAGGGAGGGTAGGAGGGAGGGAGATGCAAGAGGGAAGAGATATGGGGACATATGTATATGTATAACTGATTCACTTCGATATAAAGCAGAAACTAACACACCATTGTAAAGCAGTTATACTCCAATAAAGATGTTAAAAAATAACAATAATAAAATCATTGCGTGTTAATAGAAAAAATAAAATAAAAATATATGGCTAGGCTGATAGATGCAAGAACAGAACTTTTGGCCTCTGGGCCTTTGGGGCAAGCTGGAATCTCTCTATTTCTCATTAGCCCACAGATTTTCCTATCAGCCTTTTGCCTTAGTTATCTTTTGAACTCTCCAAAAATAATTACTGTAGAGAAAAACTTCCTATGTCCTTCTAGTATTTGGTGTTTTCCTATTTCTTAGTATGAAGTTGTTAGAAAAACAAACACTTCGGAGTCAGACAAGTATGCCGTAAACTTTAGGCACATTAATGTCCCCCCAGTGTCAAATTACTCAAATCACCTTATCTAGTTGGGAATAATACTGTGGCGTTTGTGATAGCATTGTGGTCAGGATTAAGTGAGATGTTTCAAGTCAAGTGCCTAGCACAGTGTTTGACAAATAATAGGTGGCCAATAAATGACGGCTAGAATAATGATTAAGGAAGGACTAAAAGGTGTCAGGTTGGTGGGGCCAGCTATGGAGAAAACTGTCACATAGGCTTCTTCATCCTCTGTTTCAGCTTCCTTCCCATCTCTTCTCCCCCCTAATCCCCACTGTCTCCCATTACCAGTACTTGGGACTCTCATTATACCATTAGACGGCCCTCTTTTCCTAGTCTAGCATCTTTTGTTCCTGATTTATCTTCGTCATCTCCTTCTTTTCAGACCTCTCAGTCTTATGACCTTTTTTGCCCGCCATATCTAACCTTGTAAAGGTTCTGTTAATGCCATTTATGCCAAAATGTTAAAGACTAATGTCATTTTCATATGCTAGTCTCGCCAGCACATAAGTCTGTTTTAGTGAAGGTCAACATGATAACTAAGAGAACAAAAGTGCAAACTTAATTTGGAGGTATCAGTAATAGGGAAA